CCCGGTATGTGTTCGCTCACCTCCCGATCTACTGAGCCGACCTGCGACAGTCTCATTGTCACAGGTCGGCTAGAACTATGAGGTGAGTGGAAATCACTCATCTCATAGTTCTCCTTTAAAGACTTTGGTGTCTGTAACGTGGCTTAGTTATAAAATGTAAACTATCTAGAGGACAACTTTAGAACCCCAACCAAAGTACACTATATGGCCAAAAAGTATGTGGGGCAGGAAGGTGAGGTCCTCCAAATTGAGTTCAAGTGTTTCAGGCACACTCATTGTTAATAGGTAGATAAAACCAAGCACATAACCATGCAATCTCCATTGACAAGCACTGGCAATAGAATGCAGTGTATTGAGGAGTTCAGTGGATACCATGCCAAGGTGCTAGGTGTCATCCTTGACTCGGACTTCACCTGTCTGCCCCACATCCAATCGCTATCCAAATCCTGCTGCCTTCACCTTTGTAACATCTCTAAAATACGCCCCTCCGTCACCAATGAAACCGCAAAATTACTCATCCACTCACTTGTTATCTCTCGCCTTGACTATTGCAACTCCCTCCTCATTGGCCTACGTCTACACAAGTTATCCCCCCATTCAGTCTATTATGAATGCTGCTGCTAGACTCATCCACCTAACCAACCACTCAGCGTCTGCAACCCCACTCTGCCAATCCCTCCACTGGCTTCCTATAGCCCAAAGGATAAAATTTAAAATATTAACAACCACTTACAAAGCCATGTACAAAACTCCACCCCTGGCTATATCTCAAACCTTGTCTCAAAGTATCACTATACCCATCCCCTCCGCTCTTCCAAAGACCTCCTGCTTTCAAGCTCCTTGTCAACTCCTCCCATGCTTGCCTCCATGACTTCTCTAGGGTCTCTCCCATCCTCTGGAGCTCTTTACCCCAACCTGTTCATCTATCTCCCACTCTGACTGCCTTTAGGTGATCCCTTAAGACTTATCTCTTCAGGGAAGCCTATCCCACCTCAAACTAACCACTGAAACATCACGTTCTCAAACAATTCATCCCCACACAGCTACCTCCTCATTCATCCCCACACAGCTACCTCCTCAAGGCATACAATGTCAATACAGTGTGCCAACAATTCATCCCCACACAGCTACCTCCTCATTCATCCCCACACAGCTACCTCCTCAAGACATACTGTCTTGTTTGTTCCCAAGTCTTACTTCATAGAAGCCACGGTTTCTATATACTGCAATGAGAATGGTCAAAAGGCCCAAACAGCTGCATGCAGTTTGGAATAAATGGCTTTATTATATTAGGCTATATTTGCACTACACACTAGTGGTTCTGGATGTGGATTGGACTTATGGGGCATAAAAGCAATGGTTTGCATGGCCCTGCCCACTGTTCTGAAATGAGGAATAATGCTCTTATTTTTGGGATATGTGATGGGATTAGAATTCTGAATACCTTCTTTAAACAAAAAAAAGCTTTACTGTGGTGTGGTTTGTTAAAATGGACCAAATTAGACCGATAACTGTCTCTCACATCTTCTCTTTAGTATGAGGCTCTGCTTTCTCCTGGGGACCAATTAACAGAACATCCGAGGACTAACAAAGAACTGCTGGAAACTCTGCTCCTCTTGGGACAATAGCTAGCTTCTATTAACTGTGGAAGTAAAATATGGGCACTCCTGGCCCACATCTCTTTTTTCCCCTTTAACCCCCTCTTTTCCTTACTAAAGAGGTTTTGTTTTACTATATGTTTATTTGCTTGAAAATGTACATCACTATTATCTGTGTTACATCTGTGTTATTACACTGTAATACAAAGGCAAATCAAAATAAAATAACAGAGCGAATATGCACCATTGTTATTCCCCCAGGAACCATTTGATCAGGGCAAGAAAGTAATAATTTTCTTTACCTGTGAACTGTCTCAGAAGAGATGTCATTGAGGACAGGACCTCTTCATCTGATAAGCTCTCCATATATTCAGCCTCCTCGCCAGCTATGAATCCACATAGAACATGGCCAAGTCTGGTGACAAAATGCAGGATCTGAGTAAAAAATCCACCCTGCCTCAATAATTAAATCCAAAATGCATAGAATGTAAATTATTTATAACATTAAATAAGATTTATGGCCATCAAGGGCTGTGTCTCACTTACTGTCCTGGTGGCTCCAGCACCACAAATCCAGACAGTTTTTTCATCCAGTTCTTCTTTAAGTCTTTCTGGGGATCTGTAAGAGCAGATTCACCTTCCCACACCAGCTGAATATATGAGGAGTTTGTATCCCAGAAGGGCTTTTCAAATTCCAGCAAGATCTTGTTCATGGTTCCAAATCCCAATTTCTTTATTGCCTGAATCTTGCTTGGAGGCAAAGGGGGGTTAAGGAAATCATCTGCATGCTTTTTTAGGAATCCTGAAATAAAAATCATAAGATGGTTCCTGGTTCAATCTGCCATGTCAATCGAATATCATGTAGACCAGGGGCGCCCACAATTTTTAGTTCGGAGATCTACTTTTCAAATGACAAGCTCAATGAGATCTACCAACGAAAAAACACCTGCATTCAGGGGGGGAGGGAGCATGGCGGTGCATTGAAGTCAATGGAATCGCAGCCACGCCCCTCACCCGCAGTGCGATCGCCCGCACCTGGAACGCAGGCACATTAGTGCCTGCGTTCTAGTCCAATGCGATCTGCAAAAATGCTGCAAGCACTATTTTTGCAGATTGCCCTGGACCGGTATGCAGGCAGGCGAGCACACGGGGGGCATGGCTGCGGTGCCATTGACTTCAATACAACCCTACGCCCGCTCCTGCCCCTGAACGCAGGGAGTTGGCCAGCTTGCATTCCAGTGCGTTCTAGAGGCGCCGGCGTCCTGTCCTCCCCGTTGATCATATGGCCGAACGTGGCCGATGTTGCACACGGGGAGAGGTGTCCTGCCCCTTTCTGTCTGCGGCGTCTAACACATTCAGCCGGCACCCACACGAGCACCGCGGGAGCATAGCCGTAGCTTGCTCCTTTTGCGCCCGAGGCAAGAAAAAAATGTGCCCCACAAACAGGCGTGTGACATCACATTTTTTTACTATTTTTAATGTATTTTTTATTATTTATTTAATTTAAATGTTTTAAATTTCATTTTTCTACTTTACTTTTAGGGGCTTCAGGGAAATATTGGGGGTCTAAACAGCCCCCTGATATTTCCCTTTAAAATAGAAAAAGAAATTGAGGACAAAGTCCTCAAACTCTTTTTCTGCAGCCTCTGTTCTAAATGAATGGAAAGCACAGAGGCTTCCCATTCATCCAGAAACTATTTACTATCAAGCAGTTTCTGAATGGGGAGGAGCCTCTGTACAGAGTGATACTCCCCATTGAGAATTTCATGAATGAATAGGAAGTGATGTAAATCACATCCTGTTCATTCATAACTGGGGACACATAGTACTATGTGTCCCCAGTTATTTACAAACACTGGAGTGATCAGCTGATCGCTCCAGTGTTTGTCCTGCACAGAGGATTGGTACATATCATTGATATGTACCGATCCTCTGCCGCTCAGCCACTCACACAGAGGGGCTCAGCTTCTCCTCTGGATCTCCACTGCTCTCCCAGGCAGAGGAGGATCCGAGGAGAAGTGAGGAAAGCACTTCAGCCGCGGGGGGGGGCGGTTTGTTGGGGCATTCAGACGGAGCCACTGCCACAGCAGCATGTGCAGTGAGGAGAGAGAGAGCCGCCGGCTGTCAGATCCAGGCCGAGTGGCTCTCTCTCTCTCTCTCTCTCTCTCCTCACCGCTCGGCGTGTTGCTGTGATAGCTGCTCCGCCCCCCGCCGCAGTTCGTTCACTTCTCGGGGATCCACAGAAGCCCCACGGCAGGAGGACAGGACATCGCGATCTACCAGGGATCGCTTTGCGATCCACTGGTAGATCGCGATCGACCTAATGGGCACCCCTGATGTAGACTGTTTCAAATATTCTTGCATTTGTTTATTTTTTTTCTATGGATATTAAAAGGTACATTCAAATGAAACTTAAAGCATAGCATTACCATATACACAGGAAAACATATCTGATCAGGGTTGGGCTAACCCTCTCGGTAGTGGCTGGCAGTGTCAATTGTGACAATACGCGTCATTGATTTTAACATAAAGTATGCATCTAGGACAGAAAGCAGGAGAGTTGTCAGCATAGTCAGTACACTATGAGGGAGCAGTGCTGGGGGTAAAAGTTATGGTAGCACTAATAATATTAAGCATAATTATATTTTATATGATGATGAAATGATTAATGTTCTTGCACACACTTAATCTTCAACCCTAATGCAAACTTGTGTATTCCGCAGCCCTCTCCCCTTCCCGTGTTTCCATAGATGCTGGGCTTCAAGTTCCTAGCTGTGCTATAAAAAATAGCTGGCTAGGATACTGTGACAGCAATCGAGGGCAAAGGCTCTGCCCTTGCCCTCTGATTGGTTGAGGGGTGGGGCTATAGACTGTCCGCTTGTACATGCTGGTTTGACAGGATTACCCAGCCGCCCCCTCAGTTCAAATTAGACAGTCAGTTAGATGGCGGTTACGTGACATCTAAGGGGATATTCTTATTGGCCGGCTGAACCATGAGACCTGTCACTGGCTCTCTCTGATTGGACATTTTCCAACATATCTAACATCCAGGGGGAGAGGGTTGCAAGTTTCTGACGAAGGGGGCATGTCCTCAGAAACGCGTTAACCAAAGCGGACATTCAGTTCGAAGGGTCTGTTCTCCGGTCTGCATAGTTCATGCTGTGGCTGTTCTGATGTTTTCGCATCGCTGACGAGCCTTCTCCTATCAAGGCTCTCTATTGACAGCTGGTTTGTGAGTATATTTCTTGCCTTTTTATTTTTTAACAAAAAAAAAGACTTCTACACAAGGGAGGTGCACTGTGTTTGTGTTCTCTGTTTACTATATATCCAGTTACCATGACTGTTAAGGTGCTGTCGACTTGTGGAAGGTCGCTGTGTTCTATCAAAGATTGTGACTGGGTTGGAATGTGACTGGTCATGTGGTCACACATTTTAAAGTAATTACGCCCACTTTTTCGGCGGTGGAATATGTGACCGGCAAAAGGTGAAGAATTCCAACACTTTGTCAGCTGTTCCAGGGCAGATCGGCATCGCAGATCGTATGTGCAGGAGAACCGATCTGCTCTGGAACAGCTGATCGGTCCTGAAATTTCACTTCTATCCAACTCTGTGGAATGTGAGATCGCAGTCACAAAGACAGGACAGATCAGTTCTCCTGCACATACCATCTGTGATGCCGATCTGCCCTGGAACAGCTGAAAAAGCTCTGGAATTCTTCACCTTTTGCCGGTCACATATTCCACTGCCGAAAAAGTGGGTGGGATCACGTTAAAATGTGTGACCAGTCACACATTCCACCACCGAAAAACTGGGCAGGATTGGGTTAAAATGTGTGACCACGTCACTGGTCACACATTCTAACGCAGTCACAAACTTTGATAGAACATGCTGTTCCTGTAATTCTAAGGATGTGATAAATCTGGCGCTGGTGGGATTATATATTTTTTAAACTCTAGCTTCATTAAACTTTTTTGTGGAACCACAAACCTCAACCCTCCTATAAGGTTTTAACTTGGATGTCCCGATACCGATACTAGTATTGGGGCCGATATAGGGCATTTTCATGAGTTCTTGAACTCGTGAAAATGCCCCGATACATAGCGCCAATGCCGGCCTTTTAATCTTTAAATAGGTTCAGAATGCTTGTACAAGCAATCTGTCCAGATCACTTGTATAGCAGTCTGCTTGTCCATTTCCCCCACACTGGCCCCTCCCCCCAAGGTCCGCCCCTCCCAGGGGTGGTTTTAGGGCTCCCCGCTCTTCTGCAGGACTCAGGACTATGGCAAAGCAGTTCAGGATGGAGAGCAGGGAGCAGAACCTCCGTTCTCCGCTCTGCGATCAGTGACACAGGAAGCGCTATATTCACAGGGTTTCCCGTGTCAGCTGTCACAAACAGACTAGTACAGAAGATGCAGCACAATGCGAGAGAAAAGAACAAGAAGCAGTCGCAGGCACTACCCTGTGCGCTGACCAAATTGAGAATGAATGTTTTGCACATGAATGAAATTACGTTGCCAATTTTTTAAGTGGTTTTGGGAGATGGTGCAATATTTTTCTATGTTTAGTTTATATCTTAAATAAAGTATCAATATTTTTTATATATGGTCTGAAGTAACTTCTTTGGTCAGCGCACAGGGTAGTGCCTGCGACCGCTTCTTGTTCTTTTTGATGATATGCCTAGTTACAGACCTTTCGTGATTTGAGATTGGTATGCCCCGCAAGGGACGCCCTTTAATGCATGGATGAACTGATTACCTCTGGGGAATCGCTTAGTTTTTGTTTATGGCTCATAAAGAGAGCCTGTCACCTCCAAATTATATCACATAGGCAGGGGTCAGCAACCTGCGGCTCCGGAGCCGCATGTGGCTCTTTCATCCCAGTGCTGCGGCAAGGGGGCGGGTCCTTTGACTCACCTCCTCTCCTGGCCGCGTCTCTAGTAACAGGCAGCGGGAGAGGATAAGTGCGTGCCACATGCCCCGCCCCCTGCAGTGCAGGGCCGTCTGGCTGGGATGGTGGCTGTGAGGCTTGGCAGGTGAGTCAGAATGAGGAGCAGGGGGGCGGGGCAGGGTTAGGGCATAACGGGTGTAACTGCACACTGTGTGCTGTTATTTCATTTAATTAGAAAAATGGATTATAATGGGGAACATTATAATCTATTTCTCTGATTAAATGATTGGACAGGGCTGCTGTTCTATCAAAGTTTGTGACCAGGTTGGAATGTGTGACCGGTGACGTGGTCACACATTTCAATGTAATCCCGCCCAGTTTTTTGGCGGTGGAATGTGTGACCGCCAATAGGTCAAGCATTCCAACGCTTTCTCAGCTGTTCAGGGCAGATCGGCATTGCAAATCGTATGTGCAGGAGAACTGATCTGCCCTGGAACAGCTGTTCGGTCCTGAAATGTCACTTCTATCCGGCTTTGTGAGTGCAATCTTACATTCCACCCCACTCACAAAATCAGATAGAAGTGACATTTCAGGACCGAACAGCTGTTCCAGGGCAGATCAGGTCTTCTGGACATGCGATGCCGATCTGCCCTGGAACAGCTGAGAAAGCGTTGGAATGCTTCACCTATTGGTGCCCACGGTACCCATGTGAGGGGTGTGGGCAGCCTGGGGGGCCTCTTACATGAGTATCAGCTCTACCAGGGGCAGCATGGCAGAGGTGACGGGGAGGGGCTGGAGGAGGCCGGGCCCCAGCAGCAGCAGGTAAGAGGAGTTGGGAGGAGGTACAGGGAAAGAGACGCCAGCGACCAGCCCACCTGAGGCCTTGCAGAGCCCATCATAGAGCGTCTCAGATGGGCTGTGCAGGATCTATGGTGTGCTCTGCAGGGTCACTCTCAGGTGGGCTCTGTGGTGTCTCAGGTAAGTCCAGATTCCAGTGCGTTACTAAGCCCAGAGTCCAGTGTGTTACTAAGCCCACATATACTTATGTACATGCTATACATAGCATAAAAGGTAAAAAACGATATATGCAGTGTTATCTTCATTTTAGATGTCAAAAGGGTTTTGTGGCTCCCGGTGTTTTCTTTTTTGTGGGGAACAGGTCCAAATGGCTCTTTGAGTGTTTAAGGTTGCTGACCCCGACATAGGGGCTTGTTAGCCCCTGTGTGATATCAATAATGTTAAGTGAAAAAAAAGAATAAAAAAAAAGTGATAAAACAATAAAATATATTTTTTTAAAGTGCTAAAAAAGGTAAAAAACCCCAAAACAAATTAATATAAAAACCAACCACGCATCTGCGTGCAAATAAACGCATGCACAGGGCATTGTGTATGACTGCCCTCATTCTACTGTGTGCTATATTGTGGTAGTGGGGCAGCAGTACTCTCCAGCACGCACAATTAAAGGACAAATTCACTTTCCAAAGTAATTTGTTAAAATGGAATTACCTGCTTAAATCTGGCCCCCTCTGCTTCCCCGCTATACTTACTTTTTGGTGAATGGTCCTTCCCCCTGCCGGTATGGGTGAGCTATATGTACCTCATATTGCCGTCTATTGCAGCCCTGCGCTATAGATTCTGAATTTCACTTGGAAATTGCAAGCAGTCGTTGGTCAGCGCAGTCAGGTGACCGAGCTGACCAACGAGAAGCGCTTTTTAGCACGGTCAAATGCGGGTGAGACATCTATTGTCTGCCACATACAATGCTATTTTAACACCTCTCTCTGGGCAGGTAATAACACCTCCTAGCTCCAATTATGCAAATGCAATCACCACCTGGTTGCGATTGACAGATTATGTGGGTTGGAGAAACATTCACCACATTTAAGGTGGCCATACACTGTACAACCATCGCAAGACCTTAGTCTTGTGATGGTTGTAAAGTACTTAAAAAAACGTACGATCTGCCCATCTTGGACAGGCAGATCGTACTTGCGATCATCGCAAGCCCGCCCCCTTGATGGGCGGGCTTGCGATGACTGCAATGAGGGGCGTGCTTGCGAGGACGGCAAACGGGCATTGTGCGCGTGCGCACACCGGCCCGTTCGTCAGTTGTCGAACCAGCAGGCCACTCACTCGCCGAGAATCGTACGATTCCCGGCGGGTTTTCTAGCCTGCTGGTTCGACGGAAGACGTGCGACCGTACAGTAGAAACAGTCACACGCCTTCCATACACTGCACGATTCTCGTACGATCGCGGGATTTCCCGCGATTCTCGTACGAGAATCGTGCAGTGTATGGGCACCTTTTTTCACAGCAAATTTTTGTACAAGTCATTCTGAATTGAGAAAACGGGTTGGATGACCAGTGAAACATCTTCAAGAAAAATACAGCAAGTCCAGTTGCCTTGACTTATTTTTTACAGATATACTCTGCTAAAGCTGGCTATACACCAGGGGTAGGCAAAGTCTGGCTCCATAGCTGTAGTGAAAATACAAATCCCATCATGCATCTGTCCCTGGGAGTCATTCCTGTGGCTCTGAGAATCTTGCAATGCCTCATAGGATTTGTAGTTCCACAACTGCTGGAGGGCTGGAGTTTTGCCTACCCATGCCATACACTGTGCGAATTTTGGAAGGTTCTTGATGAACCAGGGAATGGTGTCCCTGTCGACACCATTCCCTTCAGCATCCTTCAAATAGAAAATCGAAGGAGCCAGATGGAAAATCTTTGGGAAAACGGTGACGGCAGCCTATCAGCTGCCGTCACTGTTTATGTATTCTGAGAGCGGCATTCCAGCTGCTGTTAGAATACAAAGGACACACGAGGACATTCATTCATCCACGGTGTATAGTGTGGATGGAGGAATCTGTTCTATTTTTTTATTCAGTCCACGGGCTGAACTAAAAAAATATAACAGTGTATGGCCAGCTTAAAAAAGAAAAGCAAATGCTTTTTACTGTACAGAGGGGGACAGGTGACTAGTCTGACTTCGGCCCTTCTATACCGGAAACTAATCCTAATCAGCCCCCTAAAGGGGCCACCTTCTATCCCAGGCCCCATAGCAGCCGCATGGGCTGCTATGGCTATTGTTATGCCACTTGGAGTAATTGTAATGTGCGATGTATTATTGTTTTATTTGTGAGATATTTTAAGGGTTAGGTGTTTCCCCTACACCGTTGCCTGTTAGTTCCTTTATAACCTTTATCATACAATTTAATTTACACTTTAGGGAATACTGCTTTAAAACCTTTCTAAACCATAAGTGGTATACTTTGTAATAGATGAGCCTCAAGATACACCACAACAATCTAAAGCTACAATCATTTAAAAATTCCCCCCTCTCGTTTTATGCCTCTATATGACTGTAATCCCCACCACAAACCAAGAGGAACTTTGGGTACAACTTTAGATGTTTTATGTTCATACTGATGGTTTGAACTCCTTTGCATTAATTCTATACTCTATAATGCAATATTATGTAATGGGCGCTGCTTCTCATTTGTACCTTAAAAAGCATAATAAAAATATATGACATTTAAATATATATAACACATCATGTTTATAGTCTTTGTGTAAGGCACCAAATGTGTAAGATATATTGCAGCATATAGTGCATTTACCACACCACATAACGAGTGCTAACGAGTGTTACCTAACGGGAGAGTGACAATGACATGGTCTGCCAGAAATGTGTCTCCATCCTCACACTGTACTTGCACGGGATAGATATGAGAGTCATTGCCCTGGAAGGAACCATCCCAGTTAATTCTCTCCACAGCTTTGTTCAGTATTACAGTGTCATTTGGTATATTTGCTTTAATCCGATTCACAAGACTTTCGTAGCCTCTGTAATTACAAAAAAAAGATGCAAGTGTGAAAATCTGCCAAATGTTATCTGCCATACAGCTTTCCTAACTAATATGCTACTGAAAACATACATTAGGGCATTCACCCTGGTCATAAACTCAAAATATTATATTACAACAATTATTTTATATATTTTTACTCATACATAGTAAGAAATTTATGTCAAATCATTTCCAACACAAGGTTTTTTTTTTAAAGAACTTCGGACATATAAAAACTGCAAGGGTTACGTGTTTATGTTGTCTAGGGAGCTAAAATGACGCCAAAGAACATTACACTGCCGACTCGGGGGAGGAAGGCTGCAGGGACCAGTCTAGCAGCCAGACAGGCTCGAGGTTCGGGTGAGTATATCTTTGTTATTTTAGCTCCATAGACAACACAAGCACTTAACCCTTGCAGTGGGGTGGTAGCCCCACTGCAAGGGTTAAGATTTCATATGCCCTGAGTACTTCTTTTACCAGAATCTGTTGAAAATGTTATTTGTTTTGGCTACATACTAAGATATTGTTTACTAAAGGTATGGTCTTTCTCATATTTTATATTCCTACTAGTATCAAGTACTTGGTAACCCAGCTGCTTACTACTTAAATTTTAAAGTGTACCTACAGTGATTGGACGGTCAGAAATCTGCTACTTAGCTGTAACATAAGGTACTTCCAGATACTTGCATGTAGCTTAACCATTAGTGCACAGCAGGAATCTCCAAGCCTAAAGTTCTCTGTTTCCCAAATACCACGTTTAGTTTGGAAACCAGCACCCATCTCTTCTGATCTCCATGCCTTTTTAGTGGCCCATTACGATGTGTGGCCTCACTGACCAACATTGAGCAAAGCATTTGGGACAGACAGGGCCAAAGCACCTTCTATAGTGGAAACTATTTAGAGAGCATAGGGCACTAGGTTTCAGTTGTCCTTGGAGGCTACATGCATTTATCTGATTTTGCATTTAAATGTCAGTTCACAGACTTTACATGCTCTGCAAGCTTGCTGTACAGTATAACTAAAGGCAACATTTGTATTTAGATTTGGATAGAGTAGCAAGGCGTTAGAACCACAGTCAGGTTTTTACTGCAGCCTGTGAGAAGATTTACTCTTTCTAACTGTCCTGATCACCAATGTCACTGGGAAGGAAACTGAGGGTAAATCCAAAATTTCAGCTGCAACCAGAACAGGATTAGAGGATCCCTATATGGGGACACTTGTTCCTGTGACAACTGTCTCAGACAGAATATCCTTCTCACCACAAAGATATCCTCTCACTTCCTATTGATTCTAAAGCACAGGAAGTGGAGTGAAAGAAAATCTCTAGGGTTGTACCGAAATTTCGACCACTGAACCTTTTCGGTCGAAAATGGTACTATGGGAAAAATGCCGATAGTACCAAAATGGCCGAAAATGTGATGCATCCCCAGCTACTCTCCTCCCTGCTGGGCGTTGCCTGTGTCGGCAGAGGCTGCGGGAATTGGAGTGGACACAGAATTGATCCAGCTTCCGGGTCCCAGCATTGCAGTGCGGGGAGGAAACAGCTGTCAGGAGGGCGAGCAGGCAGTGTGGGAGGAGAGCTCAGTATCCTGTGGTCGAAGCTCTCAGGATGGAGAGCAAAGCCCAAACAATCAGTGATCAGTACTGCTCACTAAGTGTTGGTATATAACTGAGGACACAGTAAGCCTACTGTGTCCCCAGATGTAAATGAACAGGAAGTGGTCTACATCACTTCCTGTACATTCATAATTGTGGACATAGTAACTGATACTATCCCCTTATGAATGGACAGGAGCAGCTCAGTATAGAGGTTTCCTATTCATTCATAACAGGGGTTGCAGAAAAAGGGATTTAGGACTCTGTGGCCTCAATCTCTTTTTTTTTTTATTTTAAAAGGGAATGCCCAGAGCAGTGTCAGTATGTACCAAATAATGACTATGCCTAGTTCACCTAATTAAATATTGTTAAATTGATTTTTTTTAAAGGACACTGTGGCTAAACTCACCCACAGTAGCATGATACATGGTTTAATGACCGTTTGTTACAATGAAACTATCCATAAAGGGTTCTGCTCACCCTCCGAATCCATACTGATGGTTCATTGCGCAGTGTGCATATCTGACTCTGATGATATGTATGATCAAACCCACTGTGATCCCCATTGTGGATGGGACCTTGAAGTGACATTAAACCTTTAAAGTTTTTTTTTGAAGGGGAGATATGAATTCGGTACTCTCTGAGGACGAGGATCGAGCTTCCTCTAAATCATTGACTAGATGTTTGACCCCATCCTCACCCTCACAATTAGCCCAACTCCAATCTGATCTTAATATTTTTGATGTTTGGAGATTACAAAACCCAGAAGGCAGGGAATATACTCATTGCTCATCGGTGCACGCCTCTCTCTCCCACTTGGATTATATTTTCTGCTCCCAATGACGGCTTTCCTTTGCCCAACAGGCACTTATCCACGATCTGATTATTTTTGACCATGCTCCCGTAGTTGTTCATTTACACAAACGTCTACCTAGAGGGGACGCACACATATGGGGTTTCCCCTCCCATCTTCTGGAAATTGTTCATTTTAGGGAAGCTGTATTAGCTGCGTGGCAGGACTATGAAGCCACTAATAACACCCTGTGCGTTTCCCCTACACTATTCTGGGAAGCTGGTAAAGCCTATCTACGGGGAAGGATAATTGCCTATGTTGGTGTCAAACGAAGGCAGGCGATCATACTCCATTCAAAAGGTAGTTTCACTTTAAGCCAAGCTTACTCAGCTTTTGAAGCTAACCCTACGCGAGAACACATGTCACTCTGGACCAAGCCGAAGGGGGAATATGAAGTCCTGCTACACCGCTATGATCTTTATACCAAGTCTATCTGGGAATTGAAGTTCCATAAGGATGGTAACAAATGTGGTAAATTACTTGCCAACTTAGTTAAAACACGCCAATATCCCCACCCAATTCACTGTCTAAGAACCCCTCAGGGACACAAAGTTAGCGACCCTAAACAAAGAAACGCTCTTCTACACTCTTTCTACCAATCATGATACACTTCCCAAACTTCACCAAAAGATCACTCTACATTCCCTTTTGACACCGTCCCCACTCTCTTAGAATCTCAAATATCCTCCCTTAATGTAGCTATATCGGAGTCCGAAATCTTGCATACTATAGCTTCTTTGTCCAATGGCAAAGCCCCGGGGCCTGACGGATATACTGCACCAGGGGTGTGGAATTCCTATCGCCCGACGCCCGGGACAGGCAGTTTCGGGCGCCGGGCGAGTAGTTTTAAAATACATTCAGCCCTGCTCCGGACAAGCAGAGCTAAATGTATATTGTGGAGCCGGCGCTCGTTTTCATACAAGTGATCTAATCAGATCACTTGTATGAAGCGAGAATCAGCGATCCTGTCCGATCCCCGGCACCGTGGTTTTCGGGGCCCCACGCTCCTCTGGTACACCCGTCACCACGGCACGGGAGCTCACCATAGAGCCCGCAGAGCAGGCGAAGAACTTCCTTTCTCCGTCTGCTCTGTGCTATCACTAAGACCGTGGCGCTGTAATCACAGCGCCACCTGTCTCGGCTGTCAGGAACTACACAGAACATCAGTTCTGTGTTGGAGGGAAAGAGAACCTGTCACCTCCAAACTATCACATATAGGATTTTAACACCATATGTGATAGGAATAAAAAAGTAAAAAATAATAAAACATTTTTTTTACAAAGTTATAAAAAAATAATCATTAAGAGGACCTGTCATGTAAATTGGCTATCCCATAGGGGGCTTCTTAGCCCCCCATGTAATAGCAATAAAGTTGTGTGTTAAAAAAAAATGTAATATAAAAATTAAAGAATCATAAAAAAAAACAAATAAAGCATAAAAAAAATTAAAAACGAAAACGACGATTGCGCCTATTGTGTCGCACATGTTACATATCGCCGCAAACGTCGGAGTGAGAGCAATAATTCTAGGGCCATTAATCACTGATAACACTAAACTGATGAGCAGTAAAAGCATTTTAATCGTCGCCTATGGGCGTTTTTCGCGGGCGCATGCAATTTTAGGGCTTGACATGTTTGGTGTCTATTTACCCGACGTGACCCCGAATTTTATGTTTTACTAAAATTATGGGTAAGAATAAATGTTTTATAACATAACGTAGGGAAACTTTTCTTGTTTTCTTTTTTTTACATTTATGGTACTTTTTCATTATATAGTAAAACAAATAAAATAAAATAACCCCCCGTGGGGTCACAAAAGAAAGCTCTATCTGTCCCCAAATTTTTTTAACATAAATTGCAAGGCTATAGTCCGGTCATGCTGACTGGTGA